AAACAAAACAGGACTGCGGGTTCAATGACATGGTGTGTGGAAAATCAAAAAGGGAATATATACCTGCTTCACAGTAGCTGCTCTGCAAACAGTACTTATGAGTGCTATCAGCAGTAACTACAGCAGTGGTGGTGGTAGTAGCAATAGAAATAAACCTTATCCGGGGCCTCCCTAGTGGTGTAAGAGGTTGAGATGCAGTACTGTGAAGCTGTCCACAGTCACTGCGGCACAAGTTCAATCCCTGGCCAGGGAGGTGACCCACATAGCACAGCAGACCTCTTCTGACATGCCCGCTGCTCCCCTCAGCAGAGTATTTCAGTAGATCTGTCTGTTCTGTTTCCCACTCTGTCTCTGGTGAATCCTCTCACCCCCCACACCTCTGGCCTGTACCCCAGTTCTTGTATGCATAAATAAATAAATTCTAAAAAAAATAAACCTTATCCACAGAACATGGTTACTCTAACTAGACCTGATGTGATTATCATTAAAATTTAGACAAGATCATAGCAGTCTCACAACACCCTGTCCTATCCACAGCAGAGTTCCTGTGAGATATGGCATCTGTCAGATGGACATATACTCTGAGTTCTTCTGCCTGAAATGAATGAAAGCTTTGGTTTGGGAGGAGCACACGACATAGTGGCTGAAACCTTTCTGCCCAGAAATTCTTTCTTATACCAAGCAGAATTCCCTCTACCTCCCAGAAGCTTCCCTCCATTACACCCAGTTTTATACCCCTTGGGGCCAAGCAAAATGAACCTAATCACTTTTCTTCATGACAGCTCTTTAGATATTTGAACAACACGGTCATTGTATTGTTGCCCCCAGAGTATTCTCTTCTCCAAACTCGACATGCTGAAACCATTCTCCATGTGGCTACCATTCCAGCCCCTTCAGTGTTCTTGAATGCCAGCTCTTCCAACTAAACACCCTAATGGTCCATGCCGGCACAGAGGCAGTTCTGCCCGTGACCCCCACTGTGTGCTTGTTGGTTAATACATAAGTTGCCTATTTGTGTTGAAAATTATCAAGCACATGATGAAGTAAAATATTCCAATCTATTGTGTGTGATTTCCATTTATGACATGATATTTGAGACAGGTATTTGTCAAATAAAACATGTAAGTATTCTGAACCAACTTTTTTTTTTTTTATAATTTTTTTTTTATAGAGGCATGTTTTATTTATTTATTTATTTATTTTATTTGTTTGTTTGTTTTGTTTATACATGCACTGGGTACAGTCAGAAGCGTGGGAGGGTGAGAGAATTCACCACAGCCAGAGCGGGGAGCAGAGCAGGCAGAAGGACCGAAGTACACTGCTGAGGGGAGCAGCGGGCGGCAGGAGAGGTCTGCGCGCCATGTGGGACCCTCCTCCAGCGGCCGGGGAGCAGCCAGGGATTGAACCGGCGCCACAGAGGCCGTGGGCAGCTTCGCAACCCAGCGCTCAACCGCTGCTCCACTGGGGAGGCCCCTGAACCAACTTGTTAACAAAAGAAAAGTGAAAGATGTTTATCATGGGAAAACAGTTACTGGGTGTTAGGAATGAGGGTGAGAAATAGGCAAGGAGGAAGGGGATGGAAGGAACCAATTTTCAACTGTTTTGAAATCATAACTCCTTTAATTGATTGACTAAATTTCTCTACTTCTCTATTTCTCTTACCAGAATCTTTTGTAAATGCACAAACTTTCAGCTCAACAAAGTCTTACTTCGTTTTCTACATCTGCCACATCCAAAGCAGTTTTACCTGACAACTGATTATTTTGTAGCACATCTTTCAATGTTTTGTTTCTGTGAATCACCTGACTTAAAGAAATTAGACTGTCTGGATGCATCTTCCCTTTCATTGATGTCAGCAAAGCTAAGGGGGTGGGGAGGCAAATCTTCAGACCATAACTACACAGGCAAATGCTGGTGCTTTGATAAACATTTCTCAGTCAATCAAGAATTTTTGTACTAAAGACTAAATGATGACTATATGTCACATTGCAGAGAACTATTAATGCAATTTGGGCCAGTTAATGGATTCTACTTTATACTATTTTTCCTTCATATTCTATTCCAAACTATCTTTTGAGGAGCTAATATGACATACGTGCTTTTTTTCCCCTCTTCTCTCCTCACCTCTCTACCAGGATTGCATATTCAGACCTCCTCTTTAGCAGTAAAGGTTATTACTTTAACCTCTTATTGAACACCCATTTATTGAACACCTACCATAGGCCTGTATATTAAAATACGGTGATGCTGTATCAATAATCACTGGTCTCTAGGCATCTCTTGCAAAGAGACAGAAGTGAAACACATAAGCATAGGAATGGTAGACAAAGACTTTCTGTGGGGAAAGAAAAAGTCAAGTCATTTTTTCTGTTTGATATTTTATGTCTGATTCCTTAATTTAGTTCTGACAAACGAAAGATCACAGGAGCTAGAGAGGAAGGGGGAGGGCAGTAAAGAAAGGAAAAATGGACTGAATATTTACTATATTCTAGGCACTGTGAGTTACTGCCTTTCTAAAATACAGTAATTCTCTGAAGCAGGCATAGATGTTGTTATTTACAGATGTGGAAACTGAGGCTTACAGAGGTAAGGGATTTGCCCATGGCAAGGAAGGGGGCCATAACCAGAGTTCACTTGGGCAGCTCACTTTCCAAGTCCAATTTTGTTGCCTCCCAAGAGAAGCAGAGAAGAAACCATGCAGCTGAGTGATGATGCTGACAGTGGCCCTGACAAGCACACCGGGGCACTGACTGACCTCCAGGTAGGGCCACCCGAATGCCTGTGTGTGTCTACTACGGCTTCACATCTTATTTCACCTGTGTCTCAGGACGAGCCTCCAAGTGACATATAATCAACCTGAATGTGTCCTCTGGATAGAGTTATGAAGAAACTGCCCTGGAGCGGGTAACCTGCAGCATGGGCTGTTAGAGGGAAACTGGAACGCAGGCACTTTTGGGCAAAGCTCCTCATTTTAGACACGAAGAGGAAGCACAGAGCAAGGAAAGTTTTTGTCCAAAGTCAGAGTCTAGAACCCATGTCCTCATCAGAGTTGAACAATTTTGACTTTTAACTAATTAAACAAGAGGTGGCATTGCCTCCCAACCCAGGGAGGGATTTCATGCACAGGGAAGGAGAACACTTTCGTGCTTGAAATGCTTTCATAAAACTGCCACACCTGTCCTTACACGCACACACCTCCAGGCTTCCCCTAGTTGTGATAAGCACTTACATCTATCCTCTTGCTTCAGTTACTCAGGAGAGAATGATCCTGGACTCTCTCTTTCTCTGTCTCACCTGTCATCAGTCCTGCTTCCATTTCCAGAGCTCATTTAGATTGATTCCCCTTTGGCTGCCACTGCCTTACCCTAAGTCAGCAGCCCCTCTCTTTGGGCTAACTGCAGCAGCTTCCACACATGCACCTTTCCTCTCATCTACTGGCAGCCACTGATGTTCCCTATCAACAGACACAAGCAGTTCACTCCTGGTTAGAAAAAAAAAATAGAATTCAACACCTGCCCATTGCATTTGAGGTGCAATTGAGGACATTTTCCTTGTCTTACAAAGCCCTGTGTCTCTATGTTCTTTCCCAAAAATCTATTCACTATTCACTATTATAAATCTATTTTAGGGCCTCAAATGCTCCAAATTCTAGTTTGCTTCAATGGTCTTACACAGCCTATTCCTTCTCTGGGATTTTCTTTACCTACACCTATTCTAACTTGTCTGCATATATTCTAACTCAAGAATATCATTAAGGAGGCTTTCACTCCCCTATCCTTACCAATTCGCCCATATAACTTAGTTCCCTTTTGAAATCTGAGCAGTTCATGTTTAATTTTTCATTTATTAGCAAACTACTTGACTTAGAGTAAGCTGTTCAATTCTCTAAGCTTTCCTATCATCACCTATAAAATGGGCATAAGAATAGTCTCTGCAGAGTAGTTGTCAGGATCAAAATTAAAACACTTAATACACATTTCCTGAAGAGCTACAAAGAATGTTATACTTAAATTCTACCCATATTCCAAAATGGTACTCTGTAAAATGGAGAATCGATCATGTATTAAGATACAGAACTAAAATCGGAATAGAGAGACATTTCTGGAGTACTGTTTCCAAGATAAAGTTGTTGAGCCACCATCATATAATACTGCATTCTATGTTGACCTACTTGTGTTCTACGGAATGACCACCAAAAAGGCCACTGAGTAGGAGGCCAGAAACACACAAAACCAGATAAAGCACTGAGTTACTCTCAGTCTATGCTGTGTTAGTTCAACTATGTTAATTAAGCTGGAGACAGTGATGATTGTTTTAGAAAGCTTTCTCCATTGGACAGGGATGATTTCTGCCTTTATCTTCTCAGCACCTATTGTCAACATTTCAACATTCACAAAAATTGAAACACAGAGATTTCTTAAATCCTATTGTCCAAATTGTAGACTATTTGCAAAGCATGCCAGTACCAATCTTGAATAATATTTCCAGTGATTCTCCTGGAGGACAAATACATTTAAATGTGCCTACTCACAAATCTAAAAAGGAATGTAAATGTATGCACATATGAACATGGAAATAGCCTTCTGCCAGGCCTTTTAATAAGCCAGACTCTTAGTCCACACAGCAAAACAAACCGGAATAGAAATAAGAAGCAGCACTGTCATCCTACATACCTATTATACACCTTAGAAAATCCACGCGTTCTAGGAAAGTTGTCTGGATTTTGTAAACTGGGTTATTGTTACTATTATTATTATTACTATTACTATTTTAAAGCACTACCTTTTGAATGGAATGAAACCTTGGATAAAGAATTGTTTTTATAATGTAAATAATTGGCATCATTAAATTCCCTTAGTAAACAAGGGACACTTGTACACTGTTTAAATTCAAGCAGATGATCCATCTGCTCTTGGTTTGGAGATTCATTCATTCAGTTAGCATGTTTCATGCATTTGCTATTCATGTATTCATTCTACAAATATTTACTGAGTGCTTACCATATGTCTGGCACTGTACTCGATGCTCAAGATGCAGGAGTGAACAAAGAAAAGATGCATTTTAGCCTCCTCAAGTTTGCAGCCTGAGGTGAAATGACCAATAAAAACAGATAAGTGAAAATATGTAATACAATTTCAAATACGTACATGTGTTATGAACAGAACATAGCAGTCTAAGGGATCAGAGAGTGCTGGCTACAGGGGATTGGAGTGTTGAGTGGGTGCCTCTGCTAGTGGAAGATCCAGGAAGGTCCTGGTTAAATAAGCAAAATGAGGGAGAAGCCACATGTCATGTGTCAGGCAGAGGGAACAGAAAATGAGAAGGTCATAAATCTAGAGGGTGCTTTGGCTTGAACAATATCAAGAAGGTACATGTGACTTGGGAGATAAAGGAAGCAATTGCCAAGGAGTCGGGACATGCTCATATTGTACTTTCTAGGCTATGGAGTGGAGGTGTGCAGGAGGCAACTGTTCACAGCATCAGTAAGTGTAGAGAATGCAGGACCTTCAGAATGTACAAATTTTTGTCCCCCATGGGAAGGAGTGTTTTTTCCCCCAAGTACATCAATATGCTTCCATAATTTTTCTAACATGCTCCTTCTTCTTCACTTTGCTTCTCTGCTTTTTGTGCCTTTCCCTTCCTTTCTTTCACATCCCCCACCCCCATGAATATTTATTGTGCAATTGCATGTCTTAGGCACTATGTCTAGGATCTGGTGGATGCTCTCTGCCCTGGGTATACAAGGAAGTTCTTCTCCCTTTCCCCAACAATTCTCCTCCCCCAACCCTATCAGGACTGGAATCTGTTGCATGAGCTTTTCCACTAGCTTCAAACACACACAGGCTGGAATCCCAGCTCCATTACTTACCAGTTGTATGAGACTGGGCTGTAGATGTAAGTTCCTTCTTGTCTCAACTCTCTCATCTGTAAGATATGGGTAATAATACATACTTTGAAGGATTTTTTGGAGAATTGCAAGCTTTATCTATAAGCTGGTGAAATATTATTACATTATTAGTTTTGCCCGTTTGCTTCTGTTCCAACAGGAACTGCAAAGTAAAGAAAAGCACAGTTACAACAATTTGGTTTGATGCTGAAATGGCCTGGTCTCCTCCAGTGTCCTAGAATGCTGTACTCATAATTATATAATGTAACTCATGAGCCCTGACTATTCAAGATGACCCAGAATGGAGACAAGAGGGGAACATGTTTCTGCCTATGGGAGATGCATAACTGACCCCAACTCTTTACCTGTCCTTGGATTCACACCCTTTGCCATGCATTTCTGTAGTTTCTCTCACTAAAAAAGATTATATTTCTTGACTCCTTAACTTTCGATCTGGCCATGTGATTTGCCTTGTTCAACACAAAGAGTTTCCAGCTTTAAGCTCACACCTCAAGAGGGCATGTGTGTTTCTGCCTGACATCTTGCACAGTTGCCACTGCCGTGAAACATCCCCCAACCTAGTCCCAGGAGCAGGAGGAGATATATAGGAAGAGAAGCGGTGCTCCTGTCCAATCCAGAGGAGGAAACCCCAGCAAACCCAGTGTGTGACAGTAAATAAGAATTATTTTAAGCCACTGAGTCCTGGGGTCATACATAACCTAGTATTAGTGTAGTGATATCTGATAGGCTGGATTTAATTTACCAATATTTTTTTTAATTGACATTATTCATGATATATGTATTGAACTTCTATATTTAATGCACCAGGAGGGTATCATCCTTGTCTTGGGAAACTTAAAGTGTAGGTAAGGGGGGAAGACAAAAAATGTTACTGAATAGTTGAAGGGCATGTTTGGGAGACAGAGGGTGGTGAGTCAGAGCTTAGCCTCAGATGACTTGCTGTTGCTCCTAGTGGCGGAAATGGGAACTGCGCCATGAGAAGCTTTCATTTTAATGAAAACTCCAGAATGTCAGCTCTGGAAGGCTCCTGCCCAGAATTTATTTCGAGTAAGCTAGGTGAACTGAGTTTTGGAGGAAGGGAATCTCTTGCCCAAGGTGAATCGATGGAATTGTGGGAGATCTAGGACATGAACCCAAGACCTCTGACTCCCCATGGCTGGCACATCTAATTGTATATGATAGTGAAGAGGTTTTACAGTGTCAATAAATTTTGAACTGCCATAATATTCCCAGCCAAAAGGTTTATTACTAATACCAGTTAAGGTAAGATTAATCTCCATCACTATTATAATTCATTATTGTAACATGACTCCTCTCTTACTCAGGTCATTTAAGATAAGGTAATAACTAGGTCTCATAATTAATAATAGTAATTAATACCTTTCATTTATTGAGGCTCTTCTCCAGCACAGAGCTTACTGCTGTAGGGATATGGGCACATTTATCCTTGCAACAATCTAAGCACAGAAAATAAGCCCCATTTTACAGAATTAGAAACTGTATCTTTGGAACATTGCCTTTGCCTACATCTTATAGATAATAAGGACCAAAACCCAGACCAAGATCAAAGACTTGTAATCTTCACACTCTTCTCTGAAGACAGGGGCGTGGGAAGCTCCATCAGAAATGTTTAATTGAGAAGCAAGCAACATCCCCATTTTTTGCATCTTTTTCTTGGTCTTTCCCCTCTACTGACAGACAGCAAGCCTGGAGCCCACTGCAAAGGTGGAAAAACCATTTCCCTGCTTGGATCCTGTCTCAGTTTTTACACCATACACCAATGGATGGCTCTAGAACAGGACACTTTGAGGAGGTCTGGGGGAGCTTAGAGCTTCTAAGTGAAAACAAGGAACTAACTCAGCAGGGCCAGGCTATCTTCAGAGTCTGAGGAGAGGTGCATCAAAGGGATGAGAGCCTGGCTGCTTTGATGGAGGAACCAACAGGAAATTATCAGGCTCTGCTGACAAGGACAAAGACAAGAAAAGGCCCACTGGGGCCTCATCCCTGTCTGGACTGGAAAAGGCAGGAAGCCAGAGGGACTGTTTAATCCTGACTCCAGAGCAACCCTGAACCCTGGCTTCCTCCCTCATAGAAGAACAAGGTAAAGGAAAGGTGAGGTAAGTTAAGATAAACACCCAAACTTTTGGCTGCCTGGATGAACTGAATTTTTAATTTAAGCTGTCAGTGGCTTCTTTTTTTTGCTTTTCCTTTTTTAATCTAAACTGTAATCACACAATACTCCACCCAAATGCTTGATATGGATTTCTAAGACAGATCCTAACATAGTCATAAAAAAAAAAAAAATCCCCTCTGAAATGTGCACTTTGTACTGTGTCTATGTGTAGGTGTGTTTAAAATGTCACGAACTGGAATGCCTAACTCTAGTTCCCAGGAATTAATCACTTAGAAGACTGAAAGGGGGAATTAACTTGCTTTAACACTTAGAAGCAGTCGCCAAAATAGAACTTGCTGAATAGAAGTATGGTTATCTTTCCATAAAAACTAGAAGACTCTTTTTTTTTTTTTTCCTCTGCATTTTTTTTTCTCTCTCTAAAACTGCCTGGCAAAAATTTTCTCTTAAGGCTCATCTGCAGGTCACAGATACTCTGGGTATAAAGGTATAAAAGCAATGATTTTAAACCTTTTGTGGTTACAGTGATTTTTTGGTAGAAATTTGGGAATCCATCATCATTATCTAATTTTTGGGTATTTTCGTCACCTGACAAAGTTGCCTTTTACCCATTTTTGGTCAATTCCTATTCAGACCCTCAGCCAGGACAACCAATGAGCTTCTTCCTGTCTTTACAAATTTGCCTTTTCTGAACTATTTATGTAAATCAACTTACAGAAGATTTGACTTTGCCTCTGGCCTTTACCATGTTTTTAAGGTTCATTCACGATGTAACATGCATCAGTATTTTTTTTCTTTTGCATGCTGAATACTATTTCACTATCTGTGTTAGGGGGAAAGGATGTCCCAAAGCAAATTCCATATAGGCTTTGTGGACTCCACCCCCACCCCAGGTCAAAGCCAAAGATACTGGGAACTCCAAATCCCATCACCACCCAAGGGAAGGTGGTTGGGACCTGAGGGTGGGGTTAAGCAGCCAGGTGGATACAAAAGGCAGACACGTGGGCTTTGGGGGCTCTCCATTTTTGGGCTCTCGGCCAGCTCGCAGCGACCGGCCAGCTCAGGGAGTGACTTTGGGTTTCCAGGTCGTCGGATCGGGTAGGACACATTAAAGACTTTATTTCCCTATTTTCTCCCTGAGTTGTACATTTTCCTTATTTCTTCTTCTCTTTTATTAACCCTTTTGCGTGTGTCTGTAGTAGAGTATTCATAAGTTCCTTTAAAGCGCGCAGGTGAGGACCCACAGCCAGGAACCCTTTTAATATCGGGGTTGCTCTATAACATCTGGACATACCATATTGGGTTTCTCCATGATCCTGGCCTGTTTCTGGATTTGGTGTATTATGAACAGTGCTGCTTTGAACATTAGGGTGATGTCTCTGTGTGACATGTGTGTTTCAGTTCTCTTGGGTAGAAACCCAGAATTCTGGATTGTGCAAAGGAATACTGACAGTTGCTCACCCTGATTCCACTGCATTTAGACACCATGTCAGCGGAAATCTACCAAGCAATTTTTAGCTAACTTTTAAAAATCCACTAAAGTCACCATTCATGAAAGGGGTGACCTCTGGGGGTGGGGGAGAAGCCAAGCTGTTGTCATCTGATGGATTCTGGTCACAAAACAGAGGCCAAATTCCAGTTACTGTCAGACTACATGGAAGAAGGCTCATCTTCAAATGGGCCTCCCAAATGGAATTAACTGAAGTTTTCCTCATGTCTCAATGTCCTAACTCACACCGACATCTTGGTGTGAGTGACCCTCACATCTTGGTGTGTACATAACTAGAGGGCGACAGCTCAGGTGGAAAGGATGAAGTATGGTTATCTTTCCATAAAAACTAGAAGACTTTTTTTTTTTTCCTCTGCATTTTTTTCTCTCTCTAAAACTGCCTGGCAAAAATTTTCTCTTAAGGCTCATCTGCAGGTCACAGATACTCTGGGTATAAAGGTATAAAAGCAATTCAGACAATAGCAGCCAAACCGGAGCAAACTTTGAGCATCTGTGAGGGAGCATGAGGGAGCGTGAGGGAGCGTGTCCACTTTCTCCCCTGTGCAATTCCGTTCATAAACTACAACAGCAAGGCCGGTGCACCCCATCACCCCAACACTGTGCCCCTTTAGCCTGTGGGGAGTGGGGGTAGCGCTCTGGGACAGACTCCAAGTTTTGGGGCTTTCAGCAGCCTGAGGTGGCTGGTGAAAAGAAAGGCCCCGGGGGCTGAGAGAGGAAGCAAGGCGGTGGCGTGTGGAAGGGGTTCGGGGTCCCTGACCAACCTGTGGCGGCAGACGCGGCCCGCAGCGCCCCGGGAAGCGCTCGCCCGTCGGCTCCCGAGTTCCTCGCGCGCGGCGGGCGCGCGGGAGGTGGCGTTGGAGGCACCTGGTGCCCGAGGCCTGGCTCTTCGGAGCCGCGCGGCGGGGGCGCTGAAGCGAGGGGCCTGCGCGCCTGGAGACTGAGCGCCCCCAGTCCCCGCTGAGGCACGGGCGGCGCGCAGGCCCCGCGGGCCACGGAGGAGCGCGCCGGGCGTTCCCGGCGCCGGGTCGGGCTGGGCGGGCGGCGCGCGACGCGGAGGGGGCGGGTGTGGTACCCGGATCGCCCCGGCTCGCCCGGGGTGCGCGCGCTCGCGGGGCGCGGGCAGGAGGCGTGGAGCCCCGGGGCGGCGCGGGGCCGCCGGCTTTTCCGCTCGCGGCTCTTGGCTCGCGCTCCCTGCTCCCTCTCTCGTCCTTCCTCGGCCTCCTCTGTTTTCCGTTAACTTCCCGGCCCCGCTGCTCCCTTCTCGCCTCGGCTCCCCCTCCGCGCCCTGCGCACCCACCTCCGCGGGCTCCTCCCTGCTTTCCATCCGCACCCCGGTCCCGCCCGAGGATTCCTTTTCACCCTTCGCCCGCGTGCTGCCTCGCAGTCCCCCCTCCTCTTCTTTGATCGCCGCCCCCACCCTGGAAAGTTGTCCTAGGTCGGGGATTCCCCCCCACCCCGGACCAGTTGCGCCCCTCCCCACTTCCAACTGCCGTGTGCGCGGGTCCCGGCGCCGCTCCCCGGATCCGAGCGCCCCGCCCAGTCCCTGGCCAGATTCCCTGGCCCCGCCGGTCTCGTCTCCCCGAGACTCCACGAGGGCAGCGAGAGAGCCCGGGCTCCTTGGGGTGCACGGGAGCACAGAGGGGGGCTGCGCCCCTCCCGCCCGACCGCACACTCCGACGAGTGGCAGCGAGTGTGCGGGAGGGGCCTGAGGCAACAAGTGAAGCTACGTGCGGGGCCCACTGCTGTCTGTCGGAGGCGGGGACCCGGGCCACCTTGGGGACACGGACCCCAGGCTGCGCCAGGCGAAGCGCTCCTGCCTCCCCGCCCCCCAGCACGGGCGGCTCTGGGTGATGGGGCGACGGGGAAAGCTGGGAGTGGGCGAGGACAGGGACGTGCTCTTGCCAAGTCCTAAGTCTCTCTCCCCGAGGCTTTTCCGCTGCACCCCAAGCAGAGTTTGCCAGAGACAGGGTGCTGCGGGGTGGGGGGCGGGGGGAGAGGGGTCGGCAGAGGCCGCCAGCGTGGAGGGATTTTCGGAAGGTGGGGTGGTAGAATGAGGGGGGCCAAATCCCGACCGACCGATCGCCTCCTCCACTTAGGCGATGCTTCTCCCCTTCCCACCACCCAGGCCTCCCGGGCAAAGGCCCAGCCTGCCCAGCTGGAGCGGATTTGGGCTAAGGGGGAAACAGGGGGCTCCCAACCCCTCCCCAATTTCCCTCCTCCGTCCTCCCTGATTGGCTGCACGTCCCTGGAGCCCAACTTCGGTCGCTCCAGACTCTGTCTGAGCCCCAAGGGAGCCGGAGTGCAGCGACCCGGGACGGGAGGGGCGGCCCCGAATCCAGGGTTGGCAGCTCCGGGCCCCCGAGGGGAGGGGCCGGGGCGGGTCGGCCCCCGCAGCCTCCGCGAGGCCCAGCTCGCCGCGTCTCGCAGCCTCGACTCCCCTCCGCCCCCCGCCCTTCCCTTCGCTTCCCTCCCAGCGGCGGCCTCCCTCCCTCCCACCCCCCCGCCCGCCCGCCCGCCCGCCACCTCCCCCCGGTTTCTCATTCCTGCCACTAGCGCGCTCGGCAGCTCATTCCGCGGCCGCCGCCAGCCGAGGGGAGCGTCGCGAGCAGATGCCGCGGGGGCCGCTCGCAGCCGCCGCCGACTTGTGAATGGGACCCGGGCTGGGGCCGGGGCTGGGGCTGACACCGCTGCGCCCGCCCTGCTCCAGGGACCGACGGCCCCGAGCTCGCGCCCACCCTCCGGGCACCAGGTGAGGCGCGCCGCCAGCCCCTTCTCGCCCGAATGGGGTTTCTGGGGGTTGGGGTTGGTGGGGGGAATCTCTGGAGGAGAAGGTTCGGAGGAGGAGATGTGACTCGTGAAGGTTTCTCTAATGCAAAGCAGAAAAGGGTGGGGGGAGGAGGGAGGAGGTGAGAGAAGATTTGTTTAAAAATCAGGAGGGGAGAAGGGAGCCAGCTGTGGGCGCGTGTAGCGCAGGGGGCAGAGGCGCCAGATGTGCGCTCCAGCCTCCCTGGCCCGCTCCGGCCTCCTCCGGGGTCTGCGCCGAGGCCGCGGGAGAGGGGAGCCCCCCGGCTGGGACTGGAGGCTGCAGGGCTGCGCTCCGGGGTCGCCAGTGGCCCCTCGTCAGGGCTCCGGGGAAAGTCGCCTTCCGCGCCGCGCCCGCCCGCGCTGCGCCTCTCTCCGAAAGCGGCGACGTGACCGCGCTCTGCAGGGTTCCTACCCCTTCCTCCCGGATCCCCGCCGAGCACTCCCCGGGGTTCCTCCACGCGCGACCGCCGGGGAAGCCCCGGGGAAGCGAAGGGACCCTGCTGGGGTCGGCGATCGCCCCGCACTTTTATAGTGTGGGTTTGGGTGCGCTGACTGCGGCTCTGGGGCTGCTGACTGCGGCGCGCGCTCCAACCCTCCAGCCGGGGTCCGTTCGGGAGTTCCGGGGGGGCTTCGTCAGCTCCCGCCAGCCAGGGGTAGATCCGCGGGCGCCTCCGACTCGGGCTGCCTCTGGCTCGCTTTAACTTTGCGAACCAACAACCTTCCCCGAAGCCTGCGCCTCCTCCTCCCGGAGCGCGCCAAGCCTCGCCAGCTCCCCGCACGCACGACCTCCCTCCCTCAGCTTTGCCCCGGAACGCGTGCCGGGGTGGCGAGCGCCGAGAAGCCGGCGAGATGGGGTGCGCGGCGAGGAGAGCAACCCTTTGCCCCAGAACCCGGGAGGAGCTGCGTGAGGGCTCGCCTCGCGCTGTGAAGAAAAGAGTCCCCAAGGAAAGTGGGGTTGGAGAGGCCCCCGGGTCGCGCTTTCTTACCCTTTCTTGCCAAGGCCCTGCTTTTGGGGAGCCGGGGTGGGGGCTTCTCACGCCTCCCTACCCTTTCCCGGGTTTTCTAGATGCTGGGAAAAGCCCTGTTGCTTTTGCTGATAATGCAGCAGGAATTTCACGGGCTATCGCACCGCTATTAAGAAATTACAGCTTTTAATTATTTAATAATGCCATCCCTGCATGACGAGAGTCGTCCCTAAGGGGGAGGGGGGTGGAGGTCTGTTCCAGAAACCCTGCTGCGGGAGGGTATAGATTTGTTTAAAGTCTACTCTCCCGTCTCCTCCTAAAGAAATCTTAGTCGGATGACTCTGAAATCTCTCCTTGTTTTCCTCTTCCTATCATTTCTATCGTTATAATATGAGGCAGTAAGTTTTCGGTTTAATCACAGGGAAGCCACGATAATTAATCTGGCAAGAACCTGGATCAATTTCTTTATCACTTGGGCTTGCAGCAGACATCGATGGTTTTGCGGGGTGTCTGGCTTTCCAGGGAATGGGGCTGTAGAAGTGTTCTCAGGAGCGAGGATTCACCACCATCAATCAGCACATTTGCCAGCTTGGACTCCACGCCAGAGCCTCACAGAAAGGAGAACAGAGGGGCTGCCTTCCTTTCGTTAATTCTGGAATTATCTTTCCTACAAGTAAAGAGATGCAGACCCTGGAACCCAGAAGTAGCCCCTGCCTAACCCCAGCAGCAGGGAGCTTATTATTATTATTATTATTATTATTATTATTATTATTATTATTTTGCCAGTAGAACAAAGGGATAAAAGTTGCAAAACAAAGGGGCAAAATTGGGGCCAATACCAGAGGGACCCTAAAGCTCCTGGTCACTAAAAGTGTGTGTCTCCAGCTCTGACTCAAAGTTTTGCAGTTGGCCAGTGGGTCCTAGAATTCCAGCCTCTGTGCAAAACTGAAATCCTGCCCGGTACAAAGGAATGTGAGTACTCTTCAACCGCGAGGCCAGGGAACTTTGCTTGAGTGAGAATTACCTTTACATCTTGCTTTTGCAACATGTTAAATGGATACATTAAAATATCTTGCATCCATGCTTTATTAATTAATAATGATTATTATTATCATTTTGTAATTTTAGAGCCTGCATCAGTTGCTCATTTTATCATATTGTATTGTCTGGGGAAAAAAAAAAAAACCAATAGACAAAAAAATGAAATCCTCCACCCCACCCCTGGCGGAGAATGCAGAGATGCATTGGAAGGATTGAAATAGAATCATCTGTTGAGGTCCAGACATGTAGATGTACTCAAACTGGACTTACCGCTTGCTAGAAAATAGGCTTTTAAAATAGTTCTAATTGAAGCGGTGGGCCATCTTGATACTACTTCAGAACTTTCATTATGTTCAGCATTCTTATCAGAACACCAGACAGTAAAATTACTAGAAACCTAAATTCTATTTTCAATTAAGATGCAATCTTTTGTTAATTTGAGAATTTTAAAAAAAAGTTACAGCTCTATTTTTTTGTGCCCCAGAACTCATGTTTCCTTTTGGCAGTGGTGGCTGTGGATGTGTGTTTGATTGTTTGTTTATTTGTGCAGCAAGGGGTGGGGGGGTGGGGGCTGCAGAGTTGGAGAGCCAGGCCATGATTTGGGGGAATACGGATCAATTTCATGCTCCTTTAATGCACTTGTCTTCATAATTCATGGTTTTTCTTCTACTTTGAATAGAATTACATGGCTGCTTTGTAAAGATTCTGGTTTGGGGACCCTTGTATGGGAAACGCCTTGACTTTGACCTCAAGGCCTGATTTACAATGCCAGAGCTCCACTCCCAGGAGCATAGTGCGTCTCAGAACCTTGCCTGTGAATGTCTGTGACTTATGAAGTTGACAGTTCACATAAACTTTGATCTGTGATATTTAAATCTATTTTCAGAACCATCTAAACAAGATCTGAAAATCTGATTTTAGTCTTCCTTCGTTTTCAATACATTTAGGTAAGCAGATGTTTGAGAAGCCTGGTCATTCATTTTGTTAATCTTCATTGATCTTT